GAGCAGCCACTGCACTCCAGTCTGGGTGACAGAGTGAGACTCCAACTAAAAAAAAAAATTAAAATTCAAGGTCACTGGCAATCTTACTTTGCTGTATCCAGTGGATACTTTTCCTCCCACATGTTGACATGTCTGTGCAGTGGTGGACAGCACCACCCTGAAAAGCTGCCATTGCCTAGCTCCTTGCCTGGCACTCCATCTCTTTCCCTGCTTTCCTGCAAAGACTGGTGCCCCCTCTCAGGGTACTCTCTCTCTCTGCTCCGCATGCTTTCCCCCAGGGCTGGCGATGGTATTGGAGGCTCTGTGGCTTCTAATACCATCCCTGCTCCGGGCCCCTTCCACCCTGTCCCCAGCTCTGATGACTTCTGGAGCCTTGGCCCTCAAAGCACATCTAGCTCCCTGTTAGACATTGTCCCCGAATGCCTCCCCGACACCACCACCTTCCATGGCTGGGGCAACTCATCACCAGCGGCTCCCTTTCTGTGTGCAGTGCCCACCCTGTGTTACAACCAGGCAAGATCTGGACGCGTACCCCACCTTCACCCCACTTTTCCCTTCCCTTCAGCAGCTGATTATGCCTCTGACCTACCTCCCTGTCCTCTTCTTTCCACTCCCCTGGCTCTAGTCCATCCCCGACACCCATAATAGCCTCTTCACTTGTCCCACCCACTTTTGCCCCCCTCCAGAATGTCCTCTGCATTGCGGAATGGTGGGGTTTTTTTTGTTTTTTTTTTTGTTTTTGTCAGAGTCTCACTCTGTCGCCCAGCAGGCTGGAGTGTAGTGGTACACTCATGGTCACTGCAGCCTCGACCTGCTGGGCTCCGGCGATCCTTCTGCCTCAGCCTTCCAAGTAGCTGGAACTATAGGCACACGCCACCATGCCCAGCTACTTTTTTGATTTATTGTAGAGATGAGGTCTTGCCAAGTTGCTCAGGCCGGTTTCAAATCCCTGGACTCGGGCAATCCTCTTGCGTATGCCTCCCAAAGTGCTGGGATTATAGGCGTGAGCCACTGTGCCCAGCACCAGAGTGGTCTTTTAAAAACCTAAGCTTTGGGGCAAACTCCTCGAGTCCCCTCCCACTGTGGGAGATTTTCTATTCTCTCAATAAGTCCTGTTTTCTCAAAACAAAACCAAACCTAAGTCTTGGCTGGGCTCAGTGGCTCATGCCTGTAATCCCAGCACTTTGGGAGACTGAGGCAGGAGGATCGCTTGAGTTCAAAGGTTCAAGACCAGCCTGGGTAACATAGTGAACATTTGTCTCTACAAAAAATAAAAAGGGACAAAGTCTTGGGTCCCCTCCCACTGTGGGAGCTTTTCTGTCCTCTTAATAAATCCTGCTTTAATAAAATACAGAGATTTAGCTAGGCAGAGGGAGTGGCTCACTCCTGTAATCCCAGCATTTTGGGAGACCAAGGCAAGAGGATTGCTTGAGTTTAGGAGTTTGAGACCAGAGCAGGCAACATACCGAGATTCCATCTCTTCGAAAATAAAAATTAAAAAATTAGCCGGGTGTAGTGGTGGGCACCTGTAGTCCCAGCTACTTGGGAGACTGAGGCAGAAGGATCTCCTGAGCTCAGGAGGTCAAGGCTGCAGTGAGCTATGATTGTGCCACTGTGCTCTAGTCTAGGCGACAGAGTGAGACCCAGCTCAAAAAAAGAACCCAAAATCTAGGTCTCACTTTATCACCCTGCTAGGAATCCTTCAGGGCTCCTAGTCACCCTCCAGACTCCTGGGTCTAGCCCCTGCCCGCCCCGTGGGCTTGTTCTCCCTGCTCTCCACAGGTCATGAGCTCTGGCAGGAGAAGACACATCCTCATCTTCTAGCCCCTGTTTGGGCCTTGGATGCTTTTCGCTTGAACTCCTGGTTTTCAACACCTATAATAACATTTTGTTTTGTTTTGCTCTGCTTTTTAAAACCAAGATCTTGCTATGTTGTCCAGACTGAACTTGAACTGAGCTCAAGTGGTCCTCCCACCCCAGCCTCCCTTGCAGCTGGGACCACAGATAATAGCATTTTGAGTTCTTTTTTTTTTTGAGTTGCAGTCTCACTCTGTCGCCCAGACTGGAGTGCAGTGGCCGCTCCTGGCCACCGCAGCCTCGACCTGCTGGGCTCCGGCGATCCTTCCACCTCAGCCTTCCAAGTAGCTGGAACTACAGATGCGCGCTACCACACCCGGCTAATTTTTTTTTTTTATTTATTGTAGAGATGAGGTCTCGCCAAGTTGCCCAGGCGGGTCTCGAACCCGCGGACTCAGGCAATCCACTCACCTCAGCCTCCCAAAGGCGCGGGATTACAGGCTGAGCCATCAAGCCCGGCTGCATTTTGAGTTCTTATTCTGTGTAGGGCTTTGTGCTGGGTGTTTTGTTTTTGTTTTAATTAGGTGAAATCCACATAACATAAAATTAAACATCTAAAGTGAACAATCCGATGGTATTTATACTTTCTTTTTTTTTTTTGACTTGGAGTCTCACTCTGTCGCCCAGACTGCAGTGGCCGCTTCCGGCCACCGCAGCCTCGACCTGCTGGGCTCCGGCGATCCTTCCTCCTCAGCCTTCCGAGTAGCCAGAATTACAGGCATGCGCTACCACGCCCGGCTAATTTTTTGATTTATTGTAGAGATGAGGTCTCGCTGCCCCAGACGGGTCTCGAACCCGCGGGCTCAGGCAATCCACTCACCTCAGCCTCCCAAAGGCGCGGGATTACAGGCTGAGCCACCGAGCCCGGCTTATTTATACTTTCACAATGTGTGCACCCACCACCTCTATCTAGTTCCAGAACGTTTTAACTACCCCAGAAGAAAATCTGTCCCCATTAAGCAGTCACTCCCCATCCTCCCTCCCTACCCCAACCCCAGGCAGCCATGAACCTTCTTTCCATCTCTATGGATGTGCCTATTCTGGACTTCCATAGAAATAAAATCACACAATACGTGGACTTTTGTGTCTGGCTTCTTTCACTGAGTGGAATGTTTTCAAGGTTCATCCACATTGTGGCAGGTGTCAGTGCTTAATTCCTTTTTGTGGCTGAGTAATATTCCACTGGATGTTTATCCATTTGTCCCTTGATGGACATTTGAGTTGTTTCTACTTTCTGGTTATTGTGAACGCTGTAACAAACATTCATATACGAGTACCTGAGTAGATGTTTTCATCTCTCTTGTTTGGGACATACTAGGAGTGGAATGGCTGGATCATGTGGTAACTCTATGTTCAACTTTTTGTTGTTGTTGTCAGAGTTTCACTCTGTTGCCCAGGCTGGACTGCAGTAGCATGATCATGGCTCACCACAGCCTTGACTTTCTAGGCTCAGGAGCTCTTTCCGCCTCAGTCTACCAAGTAGCAGGAACTACAGTGCAGGCTAATTTTTTTTGTGGAAATGGAGGTCTCCCTGTGTTGCCCAGGCTGGTCTCAAATTCCTAGGTTCAAGCAATCCTCTCACCTCGGCCTCCCAAAGTGCTGGGATTAGAGGCATGAGC